CCAGAGAAAGATGTACAAGTCCCATTGTTAATTACAGTCACTCCCATCACCTAACTTTTCTATTCTGTGACGAGGTCCGTCCAAAAGACGACCCACAGGGAAGATTAGTGCACCACGTCCGTGACGTCATTCCTTCATATCAGATCTGTTCGGTCCTTAACGACCCCATTTATATCACTATATTCTCCGGAAAACGACGTACACACACATACGGGGAGCTTACCCGTTCAAGTCCAAATCGTTACAATCTGTGATAGCCAAGCACTTGCGTTTGTGTGTGACCGCCATTAAATAACGATAATTACGTAACCTTAGCATTGGTTGCATGGTTCTTTAGCCAATCTTATGAATTGGTGCGTATAAAGAGTTTCCGTGTACTGATCTTGGGGACACGTAAAATTCAGCGCAACCACAAATGGCTTTAACGTTTCGATAAAAATGACTCAATGTGGCAGATGTGTTTCGTCAATCAGGTGTTATCTCACCGAGCGGAGTTCGGGCATCATCCAACATTGGTGTATTGCAGAATAATCAAATCTGTACAGACCAAAATTTAGTAGCGCTGAAATAGTTGAACAGTTGGTCAATCTTTAGTGTGGTGAAGCTTTGAAGTTTCAGGCGGAACAATGAGGTTTGAGTTTGAGGAGAAAAATAAAAGTTGGTGGGAGCGGATCACAACCAAACCGGAAGAGATAACAGAACCAGGTCATGCGATTAGTGACATTGGGTATCATCAGTTGAATATTGTGTAGATAAATGTTTGTTGGTCTATTGTTCCCATGAAATTTAATTCGTAGTTTTTATGGTGATGGTGAGTTTTGCTCGTCTGTAGAGCAACAGTGAACTACTTCAATTATTCTGATGACATTGACGTCTTGCACAAAATCGCTGGCAGCAAGTCACGGTTTTGATCAACATAATACCATCACAATCCGTAGATGACAAATTTGTAGAAAAGAATATGTACGCGCTGCAATGAGCACACGGATGATTTCGTTATTAGCAGTAGTAATTGCGGAATGAAACTTTTACCGTTGTGTTAATTATTGCGCAGTTCGGGTTTATAATCCCGTGTCTGCCTTATATCACTCACGTAAACCCCTTCACAGCTAGTCAGTTTGGTTAGTACATTTAGTCCCAAAACCACTTAGTTTTTATCGGGATCTTTTACACGTGATACAAAACTATCAAATGCATTTGGAAGAAATCATGAATTCCGTCATGGTAGTAGAAATCCCGTACGATTAGTTTTCAACAACAGTGTAATCACAGAGAGTTGTGACATTCGTGTATCGATCAAGAAGGATGTATGTGCTTCAAATTGTCATCTCTCATAACATTTGTCTGTTTCAAAATGCCGTATAACTATGGTCCAATTCCGTCTACAATTAACTGATCTGCCAGCACCGTATAATTCAGATCGATGAAAGCTAAAATGCAATTGGCGTGACTACGACACCTAACTAGTACGGTCAACTACGAAAAGAGCGCGTCAGATGTCGCCAGTATTCAAAGAAAGTTATGAATAAGGCATACTGCGTACAAATGCAGAACCAATAATTGTATTTTGATGATTCATGAAAATTCTATACACATGTTACTGCAGATTCACCGACACATGTTAGGAACGGTAATCAGAGTAATGAGGTCACCTAGGTTCCGCATTTAGTCCTCTTCTGAATCGGCATAACAGGAATACAACGGTTCGCCAAGCAACATTGCCGAGCGAGAAGTAATAAGAGCAGCTATCAATTCATCAAATAGTTTGCTCGCTTTCTATTTCGCCTGTTCGCCGAGCTTGGTAATTTGTTTGCAAATGTTTCATCACCAGTCGAGGCGACATCATCACTTTTATAGTCATGAAAAAAGATAACAGTGACCGGTACAAAGATTGCTGAGATTGCGCTATTTCGTTCGGCTCGTGATTAACAAATAAAGAACAACTCCATTTTACCTGGTCACCAAGCGTGGCAATTTGTTTGCAAACGTTTCATAAAGAACATTGTTGATTTGGTGCGATTTGCTGTTAATCGGGGGACAGCCCCTGGAACGGTGTTAAAAGTTTATCATGCATGAAGTGGAACCAAATCTCGAAGATGGTGGTCGTAAAAGAAAAACACACTGAACAATGGCTGTTATCGCACAAAAACCAGAAGGGAACATCACGAGAATGTGAATGCACACGGTTTCCATATGTGTTGTTTTCTTTCTCGTAAAGCGAATTCACAAAGTGAAATTGGAATCCGCTGTGAACTTAGAATAGGCAACGACTTATTCGACGGCTCTCCCGACCACTCGGTCGCATGACATCATAAAATCTAGTGCGTAACATAATTTGGGGGCTACGTCTGATGAGAATTAGGTACAAGATTACCATACAAATGCACGAGTGTGTTAACCTCGAACTGGTCGTTGGCACTTCGTGCTGCTGCGGGTAATAATTAAAAAAATAAATTTCGGATGTTGAACAAATTTGTTTTATTCGCTCTTTAACAGATGAAGTCAACTGTATGCGTGTTATGATTTAATGACGCTTAGCAAAATCGGGTTCAAAAGATAGCCACTGAAAAGTCGTCACTTTACGAGAACAACCTCAATTCCCAAAATCCAGTAGCACTACCGCAGATGTAACTTTCAGACCGTAACTATACCTTTTCAAATTCAAGTAAAAACGGTGTAACTTCAATTAAATCCACCGTAATTTCAAGTGAATCCAACCAATCGCACTCCATTGGAAATCCCACAAGACTATTGGTGTTTCGGCCGTCAAATTTCACTTATTGGACCGGGTCTGTCTAAACCCCGTCCAGTCCGAATGAACTCACTTCCCCGTAAACAAACAGAAGTACCTTTCAGTGAGTTACCGAGCGAGGTTGACTGTTTCAGGGGTGTGGGTTGAGGTGGGCCGTCCCGTCCCCCCGCACACACCCGTTCCACCCGGGGACGTTATGTTCCTGATCGTTGATCGAGTATGCGTCATAGATACGAATGAACGAATTCGGAGTTAATTGACCTCTGTCTGTCGGGTAAGGAAGCGATGGATCGATAAGTCGGTCACCGTACCCAGACGTGAACGTGAGCATGATTCATTGCATAATAACCCAATGAGTAAATTTCATTGAGGCCGAGATTCTCTTGAATAAAACCGATTCCTTTGAATCAAATGCGATTGCTTACGCATTTCTGACATTGAAATGCACACTTGACATACTTGGCATGCATAAGATGATTGTGGTAACTACTGCAGTTAGTTTCTCCCCTCGAATCCAACTGTCCGTGATTATTTTGACCAAACCGGAATCGACCCCAAAAGTTGTTGGCCTGTACTATTTACCCCCTAACGATAAGCACAATGTCGACCTGCTCAACCTAGTCTGTTGGTTTTGCATGACCGTTCAGTTTTAATGATGCATGAACTTCCAGCCTCAATTTTTCTTTAATCACCACGTGCCCTGGAAAACACTACCTACCGAGAGACTGGTTTTGTACTAAATTATAGATAAACGCAAAGTGGATAACTAGCACACTGTAATTGTATATGTGCCCTTAAGTCTACGAACTATTCAATGCCTATCGACTCCAATAATGATAGAACTTCCCGATTTATGACTCCCGTTCAGAAAAACGTTCAGTGGTTAGACAACGATCAAATATATCAAAAATCAAGCATTTTGATAGCTGTCCGATAATCTACACGAACATGGTTAGTTGCATCCTGACAATGCTCCTTCGTGCTATGAGACTCGGCATCACTAGCAATGGTTTCCAAACATGGCATCCTCCAGTTCGGTTGGTTCATTTGTTTGTCCTTCGGGATCACCCGTCATAGTCTTTGCATGCTGATTTTGGAGCTCCGTTGTGATGTCACTTTTCGTAATGCTCCATATCATTTCGATGGGATTCAACGCTGGAGAATATGGAGTAAGTCTGAGAATGCCCATTCTTCCTCCGGCAACGACGTTTTGCAGTTTAGAATGACAGGGTGCGTTTTCACACACAATCACATATGATTTGTGCTCTTCTTGCAATAATTGATCTACTAGCGTTTGCAACCATTGCAGACACAATACGGACTTGCAGGATCCTGTTTTCAGAGTACAGTTCAGCATTCATAGCACCTACGATGTGCAGATTTCTTCCTCTTGAACTGGCCACTGGTATCCGACATCTTTGACCTCTTGATGCACGCGCATAATTTCTTGAACAATGCAGGCTGAAGTTAGTTTCATCAATCCAGATAATCTCATGTCCAAGTGCCTCGTACCATTGCAAGTTTTGAATATATCTAGGAAGAAATGACTCAAAACAAGTCGTTACATTACCTTTTCCTCTTCTTTTTATTATCCAGTAAGTTCATCGTTACTGGTAGTTGATGAATCTTTTTGATTGTAATCAGTTTCCCATCTAAATAGTTACTGATAACTGTGATGGAAACTTCTTTATTGTATTCAGCCTTGAGTTTCATCCTTAGAAACCACGTTACAGTCGGATTCACCTAAATCCATGGAATGAGTTCCTCTACATAGCGGTTTGATAATTTGTTGAACCGTCTTCCTCCGTGGGTGAATTCTGGCGGTTCTTATTGATATCTTCTTATCCATGTCATCGCTGTCTTTTTCTTTGCACCAAGTGATGCAGCAACTATCAACCAGTCAACATCACTGTCGTACGCTCGTAGTATAGTACACATACGATCCATTGCAAGATGCCACAGCACGGAAATAAGATGTAAATGTCAAGCAGTAATTCAGAGGATATTTATATCAAGTAGGTAAACCAATTCATCAATGATTATGGTATTTTTGAACAAGAATCCGAACTTGTCAATGTCCCTCTATCTTATGGCAACTACAACACAGTTGCCTAATAATAATTCAACAGACTATTGTTGCCAACACAAACCCCTTTGATTGTTTGGTTGTTTCCAGTCCATTATTTTAACACAGGTTAGATGTTACTTCATCCCAGTTATTAGATAGTATCAACGGATGTTCATAAAGCACGACAATGGTTGACACTGTTACCACCATAATGAGATCGAATAAATTCGACAGATTTCTCATCCAGATTGTAAAGGTGGAAAACAAGAAAATGTTGATTCCTTATCTGAATGAGCAGTCTGACCTATTTGGTCATGCTTTATGAACATCCAGTGATACGATCTAATAATTGAGATGACGCAACAGTTAGTCTGCAGAATAATAATAGACTGGAAACAATACAATGGTCAAAAGGGTTTATGTTGGTAACAATAGTCCGTAAGTTTATTATTAAGCTACTGTGTTATAGTTACTACGAGAAGGAAGATTGGTAATTCAGGTCACTTGTTCAAAATATGATCATTATTGGTAGATGAGTTTACTTACCTGATACTATTATGAAAACAAAGTATCCTGTGACACAATCTATTTATCGCCTTCGAGTAACGCAATTTTTAGTATTCGAAGCTTCATTTTGATCTTAACCATTGTACTTCACACCTCAGTTAGCCAGTTGGATCTATCCCATGGTTGAAAAGTTGCATGAGTCGATTCAGTTTAAGCCCCCAGTATCCTAATGAGTACATTTCATTGGGTCAGTGATTTCCTCAACCAACACGGATTCCTTTGATTCAAATGCGATTCCGTACGTATTGCTTACATTGAAACCCACGCTTAACAAGATACTTAACAAAGGTACAAGATACAGTGAAAGAATTAACAGTATTTTAAGATATTTCACACAATATGAGAAATGTTAAACAAGAATGAGTGAAACAAGTGTGAAAATGTGAGAAAAAGACAGTAAACGAGGAAATGAGGAGAATGTAAAAGGTGTCACATGGGGCAATCACTCTTATGGCCATGGTAACAGCAAAGTTTCCACCCTGTTCTAACTGATATGACACAATACCTAATGATCTGTTCGTGCCATACCCGGTGATTCACTAGGCTGGAAACACATTGTTGGGGGGAAAAATCAGCTGCCATTGAGGATCTGGTCCGAAAAACAGACCGCTCGGTTTCGATCTTTCGCTGTTCCTTAAAAACATCTCACAGTTAATAATCACTGCAAGACTGACTAAACGAAAGATGACAAAACAGATTTGGTTTGACTGAAGTTTGAGTTTTCGGTAATCGTGTGAAAAAATCAACCGTCTTAATCCACTAAATTAAAAAACGGTAGGTATCTGTGAGAAAATGCATTATTTTCTACAAACCGGGCTGGTTCAGAGAGGAATGAATCTAATCCGGAAGACGCCAATGACTACAGAGAAGTTGAATAATAATGTGAAATGTCTACACCACCGCGTAGCTCAGTTCAGGGTAGAAAAAATGTCACTGCTCTCCAAAATTATGATAGGCAGCTCGTTTACACAATTTTTCGTGGTAACACGCATACGGGAAATATACTGTAAAGTGGTATCCGCGGTGCATCTGAACCTTTTCTTTTATTCGACATTCAGTAAATAGACAACCGTGGGTAGAATATTTTACCGACCTCTACTTAATACCCCATGGAACACTCAGTACAGAGTTATCATCGCTTGTGGGACCATGGATAACTGTAACTCATTCATATCGCCACCTGTCTCATTCACTAAACTATAAAGATCGTACAACTATAACCAGTTTGTGAAAAGATGCGACGGGTTGAGCAATGATATAATAAAGATCAAAACCTATGCGATGAAGCTGAGTAGTGGAGAAGCCGCAGGTTTTAGATTGTTGCCATTGGCACTGCGGATTGAATATGTTAATCACTGTCTGCCATATATCGGTATTTTCCCCAGGCAGCCTTTGTATGGCCGCAGCCCCCTTCCTGAAAGTTGACTGTATATTTGTATATTTAATAAATAGAAAAAGGAAGTAAAAAAACATCCTTTTTAATCAACCAGGGAATGACAGATAAAAATATGATTTCTGTTAGCTAGTGAATAGATTCGAATTCAATCTTATTATTCAGGCGAAATACTGTTAATTCTTTCACCATTGTTACCATTGTTAATTATATTATCAAGTGTGCATTTCAATGTCAGAAATGCGTAAGCAATCGCATTTGATTCAAAGGAATCGGTTTTATTCAAGAGAATCTCGGCCTCAATGAAATTTACTCATTGGGTTATTATGCAATGAATCATGCTCACGTTCACGTCTGGGTACGGTGACCGACTTATCGATCCATCGCTTCCTTACCCGACAGACAGAGGTCAATTAACTCCGAATTCGTTCATTCGTATCTATGACGCATACTCGATCAACGATCAGGAACATAACGTCCCCGGGTGGAACGGGTGTGTGCGGGGGGACGGGACGGCCCACCTCAACCCACACCCCTGAAACAGTCAACCTCGCTCGGTAACTCACTGAAAGGTACTTCTGTTTGTTTACGGGGAAGTGAGTTCATTCGGACTGGACGGGGTTTAGACAGACCCGGTCCAATAAGTGAAATTTGTCGGCCGAAACACCAATGATCTTGTGGGATTTCCAATGGAGTGCGATTGATTGGATTCACTTGAATTTGAAAAGGTATAGTTAAGCCCTCAATCGACTGTCGCGAAAGCGTACATTTTGTTTTATTGTCTTCATAAAATTCTAGGATTTATCTGGTAAAACCAGAACATTTGTGCCTGCTCGAATCATCTGTGTAGACCATTTAAATCAATGCTAGGTCTATTAAGATCGAACAACGCAACAACAAAATGCAGATTTGGACGATATGAGTGTTCTCCTTTTGGTGAATGACAGTTTGTGGATTCCGAGGAGGCTACTCACATTGAGGTAGTAGTTCGGTGCAGCTTGCGTAAAAAGAAAACAACGATGCAGGCGAGAGATGAAGGAAAAATGCCGTCTTAAAGAGTTAAACAGATTCGACAAAATTCTGACATGCGATAAAAATGTTTACCTCCACAGAATCCACGGCGAACGTGGCCAAATAATTTGTATCTTGCTTATTCCAGGCCAGTCTCAGTAACGGAGCATGATTCAGATCCTCATAAATTATAGTTGAATGTTTCAGATTTCGAATATCGAACATGCGGACAGAACCATCAGCTCCTGTGAGTAGAGAATGGGAAGAGGATAATGTAAGCATTTNTGATCGAAAGTGTCGTTCATCATCTAGTTGCAAAGAACGGTTAGGCAACAAAAAACTCTGATATCTACTCACACGCTCACATTCACATGGTGGTTCAGTTGAATATCATTTTGATAGTGTCATAGTCAATGTGTGATGAGGCTGACACTTTTACCCTCTTAAAGTCTCATGCAGCTCTTGACATTATGTTGTTCATTGACGATACTTGCTTTCACCGATGTGCTATCGTTGTGCCTACAATTTGGGACGCGAAAAGTAAAGCGCGCTATGCACATTTAAATAACTAACCTACTGAAGAATATAATCGGAGAAATTTATGTACCAACATATAATCGAATGAGGGTTAACAAAACAGCTTTTTACCCTCAACCGCAAAAAGATAGGCCTCTAGTGATATATCGCGTCTATTACACCAAGATCTTATGTTAATTTCCTCTTCGGTTTTCGGTTACTTGATGGGCAGGCTTCTTTGGAGTATGGGATCTTGCTGTGCATAATAATGAGTATTATGAAAAAATCAACCCCATTCACAATGAGCAGTCTGCTTATCCCCCTCGATTGATATATATCTAGTGTCCACTGAAAACTGTAAACTCAGAGAACAGCAATAGAAACAAAGGAAAGCAAAACATGTACTTGGAGCAATATATGTCCTGAAATCATCGGCGGAAAATCAAAATGTGAGTGAATTCAAACTGGACTCAATCAAATGTTTTAAACTGATTGAAAGTTACTATCAACTGGAGGCTGTTTTTCAATTCCAATAGATCGTGCCCAAACTGAAAACACGCAGACCGATAGCGGTCAGTTACTCCGCAAACGTGACTGAAGGCATTAGGCGTCCAAAAAAAGTGATGCGTGGGTCAAATTCATTCTATCAGTCTAAACGAGACAACTAGGATTCAGATAGAGATTCGCCCTTTGTGTGGCACTAACCACGCCCTCGGTCTACCTCAGTCTACCAATAAATGTCAGTATAATTCAATGTATTTTGACCAGAATTATCTTAGCCTTGAGTCGTGACCTTTTTGGGGTTTCTACAACCAGATGGGCAGAGACTGAAAGCAGCACCCATTACGGATCAGTTCAACATAGTACAAGACAACAATTTGTGCTGCATAGAAACAGGGTATACGCTAATAAAGAATACTTACATTTCATACGATGATTGGTAATTGAAATTTTTGATTCTCGTCAACCGATATACTTGACCTATTTATAGATTCACTCCCAAAGAGCAACCACTCTGGCGGTGGGGTTAGTAACTACCAACAATTGATCGCCCAAAACAGAAACGCCCGAATGGCGTAAAACTGCTATTTCATACAACGGAACTTCAGTCATGAAATCGAATAGATGAAGAACTGAAAAGTCAACGGTGCCACCGAAAATGGTAATCGATTTGAACTATTAATTTTTATGAGCTAGTACTAAATGATTGCACTCGATAACCGACCGACAGGAACTTTCCCTAAAAGATTTGAATGCAGAATTGCATCCAATAAAAATATGGGGGTGGATCACATTGAGCAACCAAATAAGAAAACCGTATAACAAGATCACAGGGATAAAGTTGTGGTTCCTCCAAGAGTGCAACGGACCTCCTTGTGAGGGAATCGCTATACCTAACTCAAAGTAAAGAAGCCATGACGACACGAGTGTCGGTCCCACTGTTCCAAATTTCAAGTGTATAAAGCAGAGGTATTCATACGGTACAAACCTTTTCATTCAGTGTGATGGAATATACTATCGCAAGTCTCCGAGCAAATATTTTCATTAGTGATCAGGACAAACGTTATGAAATAAAATAATATGAGGTCATGCGTGCAAGACAAACGGTTTTGCACATTCCATCCATTTTGAGAGCCGAAAGGAGAGTACAGGAGTCGCAAAGAATAAGAACTGCATGAGAACTCACCTACACTGGCGAACATATCACGACCACTACCTGCACGACTGAAAGCAATATCGTACACCTCTTTGTCATGCGCAATGAGCTGAGATTCTACACGACCACTCACAACGCTAGTGTGTCCCATGACCTGTTGTGTCTGGCAAAGGAGAAAGAGAGTGAACAGAAGAATATGAGGAATATTTATTTTTGCTTAAAGGTGAATAAAAGAAATGAGATATACCGCAAGCACTCATACTCACCAAGGTCGTCGAAAAAACCATCTACGCGGGTGGACGAGGCCTCATTCTCTCTTGAAGAAATAGCCTCTTGTCTTAAAACGGT